TTTATGCGTGTGAACTATAGCCGAACCGAACTGATGAGAAAAGGAGCGGATTTGCCACGAAATATAGCAGAAATCAGCAACAAACTCAAAACTAAGCTCGGCAGAATGCAGATCTTAAAGTCATCTACCTGGAAGCTGCAGCAAAGTCGCACCAATGGGCAGAGGAGGAAGCACTGCTCCCGGCTTAAAAGGAGAGGATGCCGGGCGGGGGTTATGGTGAGGCTACGAGCTAACGCTAAAGCAGGTAAACTCCCCATGCCGTCTCTCTTTCTGTCGAACGTCCGCTCGTTGGACAACAAGATGGATTTACTTCGTCTGAGAGCGGGCGACTCAGAAGAGATGAAGAAGTGTGCGGTGCTTTGCCTCACGGAAACGTGGATTACAAGTGAAACGCCGGACTCAGTCTTCCAGCTGGATGACAGACTTTTTTTTCGAGCGGACCGCTGCAGCGAGCTAACGGGGAAATCACGGGGAGGCGGAGTGTGCATTTACGTGAGTAAAAGTTGGTCCGCGAACTGTACTGTTGTAAATAACTCATGCTCGAAGGCTTTGGAGCAAATAACAGTGAAATGTCGGCCACATTATCTACCCCGAGAGTTCACGGTGACTTTCATCTCTGTCATCTACATTTCTCCGGACGCTAATGCTAATGAATCACTACAGGAGCTTCATGATATCATCAGCTCAATGCAGAACAAACACCCCGAGGCTCTTTACGTTGTAGCCGGAGACTTTAACCACGTGAATCTAAAGGACTGTCTCCCAAGCTTTAATCAGCATGTGACGATTCCGACACGTGGAGACCGCACGCTGGACCGTGTTTACACGAACGTAAAAGATGCATACAAAGCCGAACCCCGCCCCCACCTAGGACTGTCAGACCACATCTCAATCTTCCTGGCTCCTGCTTACATGCCCCCGCTGAGACGCTCCAGACCGGTACAAAAGAAAGTTAAATGCTGGATCCAGGACAGTGGCCCCATACTGAAAGATTGTTTTGATCGAACAGACTGGCAGGTTTTCAGAGAGGCTGCTGAAAATGGAGGTTCGCTTGATCTTGACCAATACACATCCTCAGTTCTGGGTTACATTAGTACATGTACTGACACCGTCTCCACTATCAGAAATGTTAAAAGCTACCCAAACAGAAAACCTTGGCTGAATGCAGAGGTGTGTACCCTGCTGGAAGCCAGGAACACTGCCTTCAGGTCTGGAAACTCAGAGGAGCTGAGTAGGACAAGAAAAGAGCTGGTTTCTGGTATTAAGAGGGCCAAGGCCACATATGCAAAGAGGATCGAGGGTCAATTCATCTCACAAGACCCTCGGAGCATGTGGAGGGGCATTAAGTGCATAACAGATTATAAAGGAAGGAGTGAACAATGCCCCAAAGACCCATCTCTGCCTGATGCCCTCAACAAGTTCTATGCACGCTTTGAAGACCCGAACAGACCACCCAGCACCAGACTCACCTCGCCACCGGATGAAGAGCATCTCAGCGTGACCTCAGCGGAAGTAAGGAGTACCTTCAGGAGGATTAATCCGCACAAAGAAACTGGCCCAGACAACATCCCCGGAAAAGTGTTGAAGGAATGTGCTGATCAGCTCTGTGAGGTGCTGGCAGACATCTTTAACACCTCACTTACCCTGGAGACAGTTCCCACCTGCCTGAAGACTGCCACCATCATCCCAGTCCCAAAAAGCTCTACAGTGACTGGTCTGAATGACTATCGGCCAGTGGCCCTCATCCCGATAGTCGCTAAATGCTTTGAAAAACTGGTCATGACTCGCATCAAAACAACCATCAACATCAACGAGGACCCTCATCAGTACGCATACCGTGAGAACCGATCAACAGAGGATGCCATCTCCTCTGTGGTCCACACTGCGCTCAACCACCTGGAGCAGAAAAACTCTTACGTCCGTATGCTCTTTGGTGGACTTCACATCCGCCTTCAACACCATGATCCCCCAAACCCTGATGGACAAACTATCCACACTAGGACTAAGCCCCTCCATTTGCAACTGGGTACTAGACTTTTTAACAAACAGACCACAGATAGTGAGGATCCACAACTTCTCCTCCTCCACCATAACCCTCAGCACTGGCTCTCCTCAGGGATGTGTGTCAAGCCCTCTCCTGTTTACTCTGCTCACATATGATTGTGCAGCTACCCATCCAGGCTGTCACATTGTAAAGTTTGCAGATGATACAGCGGTGGTGGGATGCATCACAAACAATGATGAGTCCAGCTACAGGCAAGAGGTGGAACACCTGGAGAGCTGGCGCAAAGAGAATAACCTTCACATCAATGTGAAGAAGACAAAGGAGATGATTGTGGACTTCAGAAGGAACAAAAACATCTACACCCCCCTGAACATAAGAGGATCTGCGGTGGAAATGGTCTCCAGCTACAAGTACTTGGGTGTGCACCTGAATGACAACCTCAGCTGGAGCAACAACACCACCAGCCTGATCAAGAAAGCTCATCAGAGACTCTACTTCCTCAGACGGCTGAGGCGAGCTGGTCTGGGAAGCTCAGTCCTCACCTCCTTCTACAGGTGTGCAGTGGAGAGCATCCTGTGCTCCAGCATCAATGTGTGGCATGGAGGCTGCACAGCTGCAGAAAGAAAAGCTTTGCAGAGAGTGGTGAAGGCTGCACAGAAGATGTTGGAGTCAGTCTCCCCACCATCACAGACATCTACACCTCCAGATGCAGGAAGAGACACACCTGCATCATGAAGGACCTCACTCACACAGCACACACACTTTTTGCCCCACTCCCCTCAGGAAGGAGGTTAAGGAGCATTAAGTGTAGAACCACTAGACTGAGGAACAGCTTCTACCCTGAGGCTGTTAGACTCATGAATCTCTAACTAGAATAATCATTGTGAAAAACCATATCATGTTGCTGCTGATCTGTTTCATGTTGCTGCTGATCTGTTTCAATGTTGATGTGTTCATGCGTGCACATCTGCTCACAGACTCATGTTCATGTTTGTGCTGATGTTCAATGTTTTATGTTATGAGTGCTTAGTGTATATTTAGTTGATGTTTTTCTTAGTTCATATCTTAGATGTTATTACTGTTTTTCTTAGACATTTTATTGTTGGATGTAACTGGGACCCTGTGTACATAATTTCGCTCCACCACATGTACCACATGAGGTGTGAATGACAATAAAGAAACTCTGACTCTGACTCAGGAGCATTAAAAGTGCATTCAGATCAGCTGTTGTCTGGCTGTTATTTCCCACAAGACACAACGCAGAATCAACTACGCTACAAAAGCACTAAGCTAGCAACACAAAATACATGTTCTCTAGCTAAAAAGCTAAAGGCAGCGCTCACGTTGCCTCTTCTCTCAAGCTGAACCCCCCACCCCCACACACACACACACTCAAAAACTGTCTGTTTAAACAGCGCACAACTCAAACGTGTAACGCTAAGCTAGCAGGGCGCAATACATGCGCTCTAGCCTCTTCCCTCATGCTGAACGCCCACCCCCCCACACAAAACCTGTTGGTACAAGATGCACTCAGACATGTCTCCGTCCCCCCTGTCAACAAAAATCATGGATGAGATGAGCACCTGCCATGGCAAGTTAACTAGGAGAAACACTGAAAGATAATGTGAGAAAACAAAAGGGAAACACACTGCCGGGTCAAAAAGGTCTCCACCTGGATTTAACTCTTCAAACAGGTCCGAGCCTCCTGTTGGACTTGTTACTGCACGGACGATTACGTTTCAGCTGCAACAAGTTCTTTAACTCCAACTGGTTCAATGAGTTGCTTCTCATTTCTTCAACAACATGATGAAAGACTCATGGTGGTTGTGGAAAAGATGTCAGTCTGTTGGAGAAGGGTCAAATCATCGGCATCAAGCAGAGGAAACATCTCAGGAGATTGTAGAAACTAAAACTGGGTTAAGAACTGTCCAACACATTATTAAAAACTGGAAGGACAGTGGGACCCATCGTCTTCCAGGAAGAAATGTGGCCGGAAAAAAATCCTGAATGATCGTGATCGGTGATCACTTAAACGTTTGGTGAAATCAAATGGAAGAAAAACACCAGCAGCACTCAGGGCTGTGGTTCATAGAGACAGTAAGAACATTTCCACACACACAATGTGAAGGACTCAAGGGACTGGGACTGAACAGCTGTGTAGCCTTAAGAAAACCACTAACCAGTGAGGATAACTGGAAAAAAAGGCTTTAATTTGCTAGGGAGCATAAAGATTGGACTCTGGAGCAATGGAAGAAGGTCATGTGGTCTGATGAGTCCAGACTGACCCTGTTCCAGAGTGATGGAGCATCAGGGTCAGAAGAGAGGCAGGAGAAGTGATGCACCATCATGACCAGTGTCTCTTCATCAGTGAAAGATGTTGGTGAAACATTAATTCAACACTGGATGAAACAGATCTTGTGACGTTGAAGAAGTTTATAGAAACAAAGACACAGTTACACATGACGTGATCAAAGATAAATGTGCTCCAACCAAATATTAGTGTGTGACCTTTTTTTAATGGTTGCAACTTTTTTTTTGGTCAGGCCGTGTAATTTATAACTCCATTATTTTTAAGATAAATAGTACATTAGCCCGAGGAAAATAAGAATTTATGTTGGGTAAGTTTTTAACAAACAATGGAAATTGATTTTATATTTAGTCTCCATTGAAAATCTATTTTGAGTTGCAAGTCATGCAGCTGAAATGGTTTTAGTCAAAGAGACTCAAACAGTTATTTTAATGTTTTGGGGGGCAGTTTCCCCCTGAGAAAGCTGAATTCTTTGGAGGCAGATAAAGATTTCTTCGTTTCTAGTTTGGCAATGGAGTCCTGAAAAAAGTTAAAAGCTTTCTGACACTGAAAACCCAGAGCTGAACCTGTGATCTGCTAATCCTGTTCTAGGGGCTCGCACTAGTTTTGTTGTTGTTTGATAATTTAGTTTGTTTAAGAGCACTTCACATTCTGAAGATGTTTAATATGTCTGTGTTTAATGCATACCGTCTTGTTGCTTGGTCCTGTCCGTCTTCTCGTGCTCTGGTTTCTGAGTAGGAGACTCCTTAGCAGGCTTGGAAAACTTTTCAATCTTTCCTATTAACTAATATCAGGACACACACAAGTCAAATTACACAAAAAGCTACGTAAAGTCTGTAAACAACCAGTGCACAATTGTTGATTTGCCCACGACATGCTACGTACACACCAAACGTACTGAACTGTACCTTGGTGGGCTTGCTGCTGCTCTTCTCTGCAGCAGGTGGGTGAGTCGGTGGCCTGCGAGGAGCTCGATCTTTGGCCTCACAGTTTAGCAGGAACTTTTCAAACAGGTTAGTTGAGCCACTAGCATCCTTCTGTCCCAACACCTCCTCTTTAGTCCCTTCGTCCTCCTTTACCTTGACGGTACTCACAGCTGTAGAGGAGGATGAGGACGAGGAGGAGCAGGAAGAAGGGGCCTTTTGTGGTCCTGATGCGCTCTCACTTCCTTTGCTCTTAGCCTTTTTATGCAGGGTGGAGCTGTCACTGGAGTCCGATTGTGGAGCGGTATCCTCCTTGCTTTTAGAAATGTGACTTTTGAGTTTTTGCAGGCCAGCTTCTTTTTGGGTGCCGTCAGTTTTTTTGCTCTTTTTGTCGTACATAAGGTCCTTGATGCCCTGCAGCTTTACCTCCCACTTGCCTTTCTTTTGCTTGAACTTATCTTCCAAACTTGCCTTTTCCCCTGACTTGGTTACGGTTTGTGCTGATCCAGAATCGTCCATCTGCGGCTCAGACGGACCGTCACTCAGGTCTTCTTCCAGCGGAGCAGTAGCTTCATCTTCGGAGGTTTCAATTTTTCGCTCCTTTTTGGCTTTCTTTTTCTTTCCCTCTTCTCTTTTGTCTTTCTTATGCTTTCCTGCCTCCTTTGCCTTCTCCTTCCTGTGTTTTTTCAAAGGAACAGGCTCGTCGTCATCTTCATCAGAGTCGGCAAAACGTTTCTTTGTTTCAGTCTTTTTCTCCTTAGGAGGAGAGGGAGGTGTTGGGGCTCGGTCTTCTTCTTCATCCGTCTCTGGTGCGGGAAGGGGTCTCAACTCATCTATACGTTTGTCCTTCTTCTTCTTCTTCTTTTTCTCCTTTGGAGGAGGCTCTTCATCGTCTTCGTCCCTGATTTTCTTCTTCTTCTTCTTCTTCTTAACTGGTAATTCAGACGGACGTTCTTTCTCACTGTCACACTCTGAGTCTGCATCAAAAACGTCACTTTTCATTGGCAACACTTTCTGTTGAGAGAAAGGGACATGCAACGCTGCAGTGATCAAACCTTTAAGTGTTTTTCAGTAAACAGAAGGATGTAACAACACTAATGCAACATGTGACATGCTGGCTAAATGGCACGTCTCTCACAAAGCCAAGAGCACACACAGACGTTTAATGCAGTACTCGACACTAAAACTTCAAACGTTAACTCTACCACACGTTAACCCTCTCGGTGAATTAGTTTCTCTGGAACAGCAACGAGTGACTCGTGTCCGTCACATGAATCACTGCCTCCCTGCGGGACCGACGACGTCTGCAACACGTTTTCTGCACAAAGTTTTGCCTGACTTGTATTTAGGGAAGAAACTCCCTGTCTTTCACCATTTTTGTTGTGAATGTCTTGTTTGGAGGAATGGGAATAGCATTTTTCTAATTTGATTCATTATTAGACACAAATTATAGCTCCAGATGTTCTGGGACCGTCACCTCATTACAGCTGTCTGATGATTATTTGATCAATTTATGAAAGAGGGTTCACAAAGAGTAAGAAAAGTTCTCATCCAAAACCATGAAACACCAGCGTTCTTGCGCTTTAAAGAGGACATGAAAATAACGGGGAAGCAGTGGTGCAGTCCACGTGACGCACTGGTATACGCCGTACACCCACTTCAAAGAGCCCAGTAAGACGTGACGTGTTGTACGAGTCATTATACAGAAAGGTGGGGACAAAACGTGTGGTAAAGGCCCTCAGAGAACAGCGGCGTCCCTCTCTTTCTTGGAGGGGACGGAGTATTCTGCAGGCGCCCGCGAGCCGCTCTGCCTCCGGCTGTGTGAAGCTAGCGGGAGTGACGCAGAGCATCGCCGGAACAAGGGCGCTTTCAGAATAAAAGTTCAGACCGGATATTTTTATTTTGACATTTCAAAGTATTAGTGACGTTTGAAACCACCAGTTCAAAGTTTTAAGAGCAATTTAAAGAACAACTCTTATGAAACGATTCTCGGTCACATTAGTTTACATTAAATCTATTTTTTTTAAATAGTGAAAAACAACAACACTATTTAAAACATATTTACATGAAACACTTAAAGCCTAAACAACGTTCATATTTTGTCCAATTTACTTTGAACTGAAAAGAAAATAATTTATAATATTAAATATGATAATGTGAGTGTGTAACATATATCCATCCGTCCCAGTGTTTCCCCTACCATTATACAAGCGGGGCGCCCCGCCCCGTCTACAGAACCCCCCACCTGTCGGCTCTGACGGAATGCTCAACTAGCAGCTGTGGCAGGTACGCTAGCTACAAAGCTAAAGACGGCCTCTTCCCTCACGCTAAACCCTCACACTGACCCCCACCCCAACTCGAACACTGTCAGTACAAACAGCGCACGTCTCAGACGGTGCGTGTCTCAATTTTGTTGATCTGAAAAATAAATAACCAAAGCAACAGCCAAACGACCTAAACAAACCGTAATATAAATTATAAATGAAAGAAGCAAAGTGGGAAAGTAATTATTGTTTTTAGTGCTCAATTTTAATTGTAAAAATTCACCTGTGAATCTCTGAACCAGTCAACCTGTTGCCCATCCCAGGCAGACACATCACCATTAAACGTCCCATAAACTCTGTCTACAAACATATTACTGTTTATAGAGAATTAGCACATGCCCGTGTCGTAAGACTTACCACACTTTTCTTGGATTCAGCTTCCTTCTTGGCTTTAACCTCAGTCAGATGCTTCTTAAAAGTCAACAGGACTTCCCGGCAGTCCTCTAAATGGGCCTCTGGCTCCCACGTGTCATCGTCAGAGCAGTAATTCTTCCAGCGAACTCTGTACAGCACTTCACCCTACAAACAAAGAGAAGACACATCTACATCAGGCTTCACACTCTATATGGAGATACATATATATATATACATATATATATATA